TTCCTTGCTATTCTGTCTTTGGACTGGTCCTCTTAACCCTCAGCTAGCCCCTGAACACACATCCCTTTCTATTTTTGCCTTCGTTCATTAACCCTGTTTCTTCCACCTTCTACTGGCTGGATAAGCCTCATCAGCAGGATTTCTGCTACAACAGACCTCCAGTCCATAAGACCAAGGGTGCTCTTGAGTAAAGCTAGGAGAGTTGGAGCCAGATGGAAAACGTCTAGATTGGTGTTGTTCCACTGCAGTCAGTGGGGTTATGCAGATTAATATAAGGATCCAAGCCCAGATTGCCACAGTTTTTGGAGAAATAGGCAACTGTTGGAAGGAAAGATCTGGCCCAATTCCTCCATTCTGCTTACCTGGTCACTAAGTGTAAAGCCAAAGTTTCCAAGGTAGAAAAAGGTAAAATAATATTTATTAGGCCACTGCTTCCATGGGGCTCTCAGACAGGATATTTCCACTCACATGTTCCAAACCAAGAAATGAAGTACAGAGCTATTCCAAGGGTGTTCCCTCCACCCCAGCGTTTCTTAGGACTTTGGTCCCCAGCATGCTTGAGACCAGCCCCTGGGATGTCCCCCAGGTAGCTTCACTACCACATTTTTGGGTTTGACAAATGAGCAAAAGTGATCTCTATGCTTGAGATCTCAGTTGTGTTTATTCCCCATGAACACAACTACAGTGGTATAGATATTTTCTCTACCACATTCACTCAAAGCTAAGATGACCCCAAATTTAAGACAAACTCTCCCCCCTTCCCCAATAATTAGATTCTATATATGGAAGATGTATAAATTTGTTATAGATGTCCAGGTATAGAATCTAAATATTGGAGGGTTGTCTAGAACTCATCCTCACTGCTATAGCAGGGAAAGCAATAATTGGGGAGGTGGGGGTCAAGCAGCCTCTTTGCTCTCTGCCTCCCTTCTTATCCCTGCAGCCTTCCTGCCTCACCTGCCAGCTGCACACCCCACCGCCTGCTCCTCCCAGCCTCTGTCCCTCCCCACATTCCCCAGTCTCTGCCTCTCCCCCACTTACTGTCAGATGCTTCTCTGGCTGTATTCTTTCCCCAGAAGACAGCATATAGAAGCATGGCTCTTGTCCAGCCATGCAGCGGTGGTGGCCTGTCTCATTGGCTGGGTGGGGGATGGAGTTTCCATGTGCTCTGGCCCTGGGAGAGACTCCAGTAAGGGGAGGAAGAGGGATGGCGAAGGGGTGGGGGACAGATGCTTCAGAGGGCAAGTGGACAGAGGGATAGGAGGCCCTCCTGTCTATGGGGCTCTCAGTTTACTGCCTAGCTTCCTTTTCTAGCCTGTCAACCTCCCCAACGCCTCCTTACCCTCTGCTTTGTATGTGAATCTAAGACAGGGGGCTCCCCAGCATGCTAATGGAGGGAACCTCATTTTAAATTTGAGTAAATATGGTATCTAGTATTATTGAAAAGAGATAATAGTTGTCCTCCAGATATATCGTTAATTCCAACAGGAAAGGGGGATGGGTAAAAACTGAGACAAGTTTGTGCGGAATGCAACTCAAAATAAATTACTCCTCTGTAAATACAATAGGGGCCTGATTTAAAGCTGAGCCAAGTCAGTAGACATCTTTGCATCAGGCTGCAAGGCCAGTAATGAGCTCCTAAACAAGTCTAAAGGACATGAATGAACGGACAGTTTGGTAATGACCAAAGATTGTGCTGGTGTCACTCCATGATGATGTGCTCTGTATTGTTTTTCTCACTTATCAGCTATAGAAGTATGTCTACATGGAAGCTTGCAGTAGACTGCAGAGATGCCCAAGCTAGCTCAAAAACCAGAAACAACATAACTGCCTTACATTAAGATGAGAAGTTACGCTTAAACCTTCTTACAGGTGCTTAAAAAGTATAGCTTCACATATTTACGCTCATTACCAAGTGCTAAGTGCCCTCTAGACCATCTAAAGTGAGGGCTATCTTTGAGTTGTGCTCAACTTAGCCAAACTTCTAATTATTGATGGGAAATCAAATGGCTAAATCAGTGTTCTCCAGCATCCCAAGAGGCACCACTCCCAGGTCAACTGTCTTCCTGGACTGTGGTGCCACCCCTTCTTCCTCCCCAGTAACAGACTGGACAGCAGAGCAACAGCTGGTGAGTTGGGAGGGGACCTTCCAGGCTGGGGAGGGGAGAGGGAGGGGAAGCAGAATAGGCCAAGCTGGGGAGAGCGGTGGGGAGCTACCAGGCTGCTCGGGTGGCAGTCTGCACACACAGCACAACAAAACACACACAGCATGACACGTACACAACACACGCAGAGCAGCATGACATGCTGTGGGGAAGCTCAGAGATCACTTCTTATTAGCAGCACAATTGAAGGTATGGGAGGGAGGCTGACAGGTCCTTCCAGCAGCTCTCCAGCTCCTCTTGCTGGTGAGTGCTGGTAGAGTAAGCTCTTAGCGCATTTATTTTTCTCTCTGGAAAGCTTGTGTTTTGCCTGGTGGAGATAACATCTGCCATTGGCAACAGTATTTAGCTGTAACATAGCATGTTTTAGCAAGTCCGAAAAGGTTCCCCCTTTAAGATTTATTTTTGCTCAAGCACATATTTGCAAAGAAAGTAACATTTAAGCATTTTCTCTTTATGAAATGCTAGAGTTGAAAGCAGTGAGAAATGATATACTCTGATACATCTACAGAATCTAGGAAAGTCTCTTATTCACTTGCTCCCCAAATGAAAAATGACTTTCTATTTGCTCAACCAGCTTTGTAGGTTGAAATTAGTAAATGCCCACTTGAAAACTTATGAATATGCACTTTTAAATGAACTGCACCAAGTAATTTATTTTGTGGATTTGTATTGCTGGGTTTTGCATTGATATATAGGCGGAGGATGGTAAATTTGGCTGCTATGCAGTTGGAAGCATCATTGTGGATGTAACTCCTGTTTAAAAAAAATGGACAATGCTGTAGAGAGGCTTAAAGTGTAAATGTTTTTAATTGAAATAAAAAGCTGTGTCAGCAGTTCCAAACTTTTGCAACAGAGCCCCTTCAGCAAAAAAACAAAGCTAGTTATAACTTATCTGTGCTCCGGCTTTGCATCATTATAGGCCTACCCATCTAAATGCATGCCTCTTTCATATCTTCACAGCTGATCCATTGAAGACAAGTATATGTACACTTGCAGGAGGTGCATCACACAGGTCAGGGTTTGCTGCATTGTGTTTAATCCAGTGCCATTCAGAAAACTGAAGTTTCAGTCTCATCTAAGTGCTCTTGCAATCTGGAGTTAGGCTAAGTGAAATATTGGTGGTGAAATGCCGAGTTGCATTAGGATCCATATAGCTACTTAAAAGTTTGACCAGCAGGCTGACAATACCAGATATGGTTTGAGGCATTTGACTTTTCTGCAAGGCATGGTTCTGCAGTGATGCAAGTAGTCATAGCAGCTCTGAATCACATTGGCATTGCCCTTTTGACTCCTCATGTTAATCTAGAGGAGCAAATGCTCTTGGCTGAAGGGTTCCCACTATTCTTAGCACTTGCTATATGCCACTGAATGAATGGATGTGAGCACTGTTTTCTTGACTTCTCAAGACAAGTCTCTGTGTGAATGGTTGGCCTTCAAGGCTGCTCCCAAGCACAACTGTGTTACACAATGTTCCTTATGGGCAGCAGGAGTAGTTTAAAAGCTTTTGCAAGAAGTACTACAGGTGAGATTTCCATTCGCTTCACTGCACTTAAACCCTCTCTACTATGTGCACTGTGCTCCCTACTCACCTATGCTCATGCCACTGCAGAAACAGATTTGCTTAGACTCCTGAGCATCATGTGCCTTTCTCCACACTGTACAAAAATCTCTTTGCATGGAAGTCATGGCTTGCTGCAATTCCTTCTGCAGCCTGAAGGGTGAAAGAAAAGCTAAAGCTGTTCAGGATTAATCACCTTAGAATCTGCTATATTTCCTGTGACATGATGCCTGTTAAACCAGGAATGAGATTTTTCTGAAGATTGCAAGCTTCTTGGGGTAAGACTAAGTCCTCTTTTGTGTAAAGGAAAAAGCACACCGTAGTCACCTGAAAGATGGTATTCATAAGCTTGGGTACTTACTTGCAGAGAGAACCTTTATGAGGCATTAACTCTCGTAGAGCAGTGGTTTTTAACCTGTGGTCAATGGACCCCTGAGGGACCACAAACTATGTCTAAGGGATCCGTGAAAGATGACTGTGATCAATCAAAAGTACATGAATACCCACACTTAAAATTCAAAGGGGTTTGCACCTCCATTTGAAATTGTAGGGGTCCGCAAATGAAAAAGGTTGAAAACCACTGTTGTAGAGGAAACAAGGAATCTTCAACTCAGTTCTTTGTCGGTGAATACAAAGTTTCACATAGGATACATTCTCTGTTGCTGAGAGTCATGTGTAATGACATTTTTTGGCTTAATTTCAAATTACATCACTGATTTACGATCTTATTTACTTATTAAATAATAAATCTTGTTGATCCACCTTTAAGAATTGTTGTGTTGGGTGATTTTACTGAAAAGGTAAATTCCTGATATACACAATCCATAGATGGGTAGGTAAGTTGTGGGGATCCTGCTCTTGCTTTTGGGCAGTTCTTCACGTGGACTCTGTTATCCCATTATTCTGGGAAAAGGAGTGGAGGAGGAGGAGACAAAAGAACTAAATTGGTGGCTATTTACTTATCTTTATTCATCATTCAAATCCCTCCACCATCCACCCCCTATATAAATGTATATATGGTCCCGAGTTTCCATAGCTGGCCACATGTAGCTTTGTAGATGAAGTTTCCAGCACTGCTTTGGCTACTTTAATTGAGTGTGTTCTAGGAACTGATACTATTACCACACTGACAGAGGCAGACAAGGCATGGAAAAGGTTTGTTATATTAAGGGAAAAGACAAGCTACAAATATGGACTAACTCTTAGTATTTCTCACTAACTACTTAGAACAAAGTATCTTTGATTTAAAAAAAACCCAACAACCAAGACCTCCTTAGTAGTAGCTCAAAAACAAAAGTGTATTAGTTCCATAGATAGAATATATCAGAAATAATTAAAATTGTATGCAAAGCATAACCTATGACATGCTTTTGCTGTAATAATGTTATCATTTGGGGTGTGGTTTTTTTTTGTTAATATCTAACTATTTTTTATTTCATCTATAAAATAGGATGTCACTGAAAATCTGTGGGTGCTAAATATTTTGTACACTGCATGTTTAGCTATGTAATTATTCACTATTGTCATTGATTCACTATGCAAATAATACTTTGAATCTAGTATATTGTATAATCAACTGAATGCTTATGAAAGACACTGGATAGATAGTTCTGGAATCTACAATCCCAGGTTCAGTAGAAGTAGAAATGTTACAGTGTTTCTTGCATCTCTTCATTAATGTTTCTTAGTCCTTTTCCTGAAGGAAATATGTTGGGCATTAAAAGGCTAATTGAATTCAGCCTCCAAGACTTGATAGTCTTTGACCTCTCTGCTGAGAACCCTCCTGGACTGAATGAGGGACAAATCAGTGTTAGTTAGTGCTGTTTCTTTGTATAGGGTGAATGCCTGTTCATGACACCACCCTTTTTTTATGAAGAGCTGGTTTGTCTTGTGTGCCAGTCTGTTGGTAACCAGTTATATTTTAATGAACTCTACAGATTATAGTAGGCTGTGAAGCACTGTCATATATTTTTGTATGAATTAAGCTATACAAAAATATGAAATGATTGTTGCATCATGTAACACACAAAGTCTATTAGATGCTGTTGTTTTCATTACATCTCTGAATTCTCCAGCATGAGTATTACTCTTTACAGCACCTCCTAATGAAAGGTTAGGAGCAAGTCAAGAGAGCTTATCAAAAGAAAACATATAGCTTAAAAAGATCCACTACCCAACTAGTTCTTATTCCACCAACTCTGGAAAAAGATCTCTAAAAGAAAAGAGTCAATACTATATGTTAGTACAAAAGACAACTGTTACATTTCTAAGAAGTTTCTCTTCTGAGAGCACTAGACTCTAATGTTAAAGATTTTTAAAATAATGGCCCTTATGGGGTACTAATTTTTAGTATTAGAATAAACTCAAAGCCTGTAATGAAGGAGAATATAAGTACGAATACAGATAATCTACTTGTATTGGCCATGCATGTGATGTCTGAAAGGGATTTTGAGTTTCTATTTTTGTACTACTGTGGTTTTGCTGCAGTCCGTGATATGCCAGCAGAGTAAAACAAGTGTAATGAAATGAAGAATTAGGATGGAAACACACGTTAGGATTTTAAGCCAAGTGGAGCAGGTAGTGGCTTACTTCTGCCCACTGCTGTCCTTCTGTGAGAAAAAAACAACAGTAACCAGCCTAACAAAAGAAACTGAGGTTTAAAGCTCTGTCCTATTCTCCCACTAGTGCTACTTTTAATGCCTGGTTGGCTAGCTCCTTCCTTACGTTAACTGTTACCATAACAGATATGCAAAAGTAGGCTTCAGTTTAGATAGTGTCAGCATATGGAAAAATCCCATATAAATCAGGATCTTGATCTGAATTATCTGATACATTTCTTCCAACCCTAATTACAAATTCATTGACTTCAGTCTCTTCCAACAAGCCATGAAGTGCAGATAAGCAGTTGGTTCTAGCTTAAATGCAGTGATGCTTAAGAAAAGTATTTATAAAAATGAACAGATTTTTTATATGCTGCCCTTTTGAATTACCCAGAATTATGTACAATAGGTTGGAGATATTGCAGTCATCTTAAACAGGGAATTTTTCTCCATCTTTTTCTTCATCTTCCACAATCACTGTCTGCTTCTCTTCTCTAAGCAATTTAATACCTTAAAAGAAGGGAGAAGGGGGAACCAAAAGAAGAAAAATGTTTAATTAACAAAGTGAGTCTCAAAATCTTTTGGATCATAAAGCCCTTTTTCAGTATCTTACACAGCTGTGTAACCCTAGGATTCTATATTATGGCTAATAAGAAAGTCAGCTTTATGTTACTGCAATCACACTGGAGCCATTTTCTCTTCCTTTCTTTCCTTCATTTATGGTTTCCCTATTCCTTTCTTCAGTTTTTCCATTCTTCCTTCTCATTCACCCTCTATAAGTTTGCACTTCAGTTTAAGAAATGCTAAATGAACACATTCTAATAACAACAATTGTACATCCACAAAACCAGCACATTGTTGAAGCAGCAAGCCCACTGCTGTTTATTCTAGGGAGTTGAACTGTTTGTAAAAAGTATGTTAGGCAAAGCAATATACTTACTCTCCTGAATAATATTTTAATCTCTCTACATATTGGTAATTGTGGTTGTGTAGGATGTTTTAATTTGAAAATTTTGTTTAGATTTTGCTGTTCAAGATTCCAGCAAAATCTCGTTGGACTCTGCTGCTCCAGCAGAGAGCAGAACGCATCCTTTTCACAATCCCCGCATTGTGCTTTAGGGAAATGCCAGGTGACCCTGAGCAGTCTGGGTCAGCCAATCAGAGCTGCCCTCTGCACTGCTGCCATTTGTCACAAGGAGGATTAAATAAGTCTACAGAACAGGCTGAGATATGTGCACAGGGCAGCTTCCCCCATCACCACCTTATCATCCCCCATCTGTACAATGTCAGCACTGTAAGCTCTCCACTCCTTGGGGCCTCAGCATTCAAATGTCTGTAAATGCAGCTTGGGTAACTTTCTCTACCAGGAGAGCAAACCTGGGAGAATTCTCCCAGGCTATTTAAATGTGTTCATGTAGTCCTAATGTCAGCAAGTTGTAAATAAAAAAGATGAACTGGGATCAGTGCTGAACACATTCAGGTATATCACTAAAAATATTGTATCCAGCACCAGCTTTACACAAGTTGGGGGCTGGGGCAGAGGCTAAAGCATGGACCCTTCTCTCTACTCATCTACACTTTGAATGGGATTTGCATGTTAGCTTAGTAAGGCCCTGGGCAGTTGTCCTGGTTGTTGACCGGCTGTTATTGTACCAATATGTAGGGCCCTACTGAATTCATGGAAGAACTGGGCTGAGCTGCATCTTCTTTAATCCTATGTGCCCCTCCACTGCTTATTGGTAGACGGGCCTCACTTGTGGCTTGCTCCTGAACGGTGAGGAGGCGAAAACTGTGGTTTAAACATGATGCCATTTTTGGCCTCTCAACACTGATTGGCCAAGGGGCCCTGGCAACCCTGCTGCTTGCTGCTGACTGGCAGGGAGGCAAAAATGATGCCACATTTAAAACTGGTTTTCCCTTCCCTGCTGATCAGGAGCATGCTGCAAGTGGGGCCTTTCCACCAATCAGCGAGGGTGGGGTGTGCATGGGGGATCCTACAAGATTAAAGGAGCTGCAGCACAGCCTGCTTCTGCCATGAATTTGGTAGGGCCCTACCTATATGACATGACAACAAGAAGAAAGATGGCATGAGAGTTAGGGTTTTTAAGAGATCTGTGTTCAGTCAGCTGTGGACTTGCTATATAGCCTACCACATAACGTGTCTGTGGGCATGTCTACATCAGACGCTGACCACACAGTAGCCAAATAATACTGTGCAGTAGCATGTCACAACATGAGCAGTGCTAATATGTGACTGTAGTATTATTAGGCTACTGCTCAGTAATGTCACTTAAAAGATGTTTGCTGGTAACTCTGGTTACTACACATTTATTTAGTACTTACTTATGCATAAGTACTAAACAGATGCACAGTAACCGCTGCACAGTAGTGTCTCATGTAGATGCACCCTGTGTCTCTCCATCTGACCTGTAAAATGGGGATCCTTGTGTATCCTATCTTTTGTCCACTTTCTGGCTTCTCTATGTAGATTGTAAGCTTCTCAGAATATAAACTGTCTCTTCCTATGTCTATAAATAGTGCTTAGAACAATCTGATCTCAACAACACATGAGGCATTTATGTATTACAGTGATACCAAAATAGAGTACAATAAATAAAATTAAAAATAACTTTCTTAAAATGGAATGGATGAAACCAGTCATTAGGTCCAGTGTGAATGGGCAAACGGATGAATTTTATTTTTGCTTAACTGTCCATTTCCAGTAAAAACCAACAAATGGCTTCTAAAAAATGTTTTACATCCACCTTTCTTGGTGTGTTGCTTAATATATTCCAAAAACAGGATGAGGGAAAGCATGACTTGAGGTCAAGAAAATCACCTGAAATCAAGTTTCTGCTGTTGCACTTCAGCATGCCACGTTGTTCTGTCAAACCAACTTGTTTTCCTTCTTTCTGTGTTAAAAGCCCTCTCATAATGAAATATGTCATGAAGTCTGAAAATAGAGCAAAAGAAGCCATCCCACGCAGAAAGGCATTCTTCAGCTCTGGATTCTCTTCAAGAAGTGATAAGTTATGAACATGCTTTGCTGACCAAAAGTGTTATTAATTTAACTCAGGTCCTGCTTTCTTACTGTTCAGCTTATTTTACTGTAAAAGAGCAACAATTCAAGGGACTGAAGGGAAGCTAGTTCTTTTTACATAATTTTGAAACACTGTGGGCATGTCTACATGTGCCCTTGACTGTATAGTTGGACTGTGCTAAAGCAAGTACTAAATGACTGTGCGGTACCCACTGGTACTGTGCAGTCCCAGTGGTGCACCGGTTGTTTCCAACCCTACTGCACAGTAGCAGCAGTATCATAGTTAGTGCCTGCTGAGGCTATGTTGCCGTATTTTGTCACTATGGTGGCATAACGTCTCACGTAGACACACCCACTGTGGTGTATTTTTTCAAATAACCATTGCATAGCTGATGCTGTAAATTAGTGGCAGGGATGACATTTTCAGATCTGTACAGGAAATATTTCTATTTGCTATCCAGACTTCTATTTCTATTTATATCAAACAAAACAAAATATAGACATGCATATTTATTTCCTTTATATTTGCATATTTTCCCAAATGCCCCGTGCATTATATTTGCTATGTAAAGATGATCCAATTGTTCTGGTGACCTGGCTGAAATTCTTATTTCACCACAGATTGGCTCTGTGACTTCCTTCTCTGAGGGGATTTAAATCTACAGCTGCTATTTCCCAGGGCAGCATTGTAATAATCAGACTATAGGCAATTCTGGGAAGGATTTCCTCAATATCTCCTGTTCAATATATTCTACTTTGCAAAATAATTATTCATTGCCACACCAACTGGAAGCCAGGTCTCCCCTTCCCAGATGAGTGACCTAATCACAGTTTCAACATTCTGGCCTTTGTGGACCCCATTCTTGGCCTCCTAAGGGCATGTCCCTACCGCAGCAAGGGTGGGTCTCAGTGAGGAAAGGCGTGATTGTGAGTATGTCTGGCCTATTCCTTGCCACCTGCAAGTACATTCCAAATCTCACAGTTCACTATCAGACTGCTCTGGATCCATTCCTCCAAACCTGTTCTGAGCCCTTGGTTTCCAGCATGCTCGAGAGCAGTTGCTGGGGATGAGTCCAGAGTGGTCTTAATGGCAAATTTCAGGTCTGAAGTGTATTTGCAAATGCAGGTATGCAGGGTGTAGGAGGGGCATGCTTGGCCCTCTCCTTCCTGGAACCTGCTGTGGCCATGGTGCAGACATGCCCAGGCTCCTCATGCAGTGTATAGAGAGGCTATGCACCACCCTTGGGGATAAGAAGTCCACCAAGTGACAGGACACCTAAAATTTGCATAGTATAAAAGGAAAATGAAACTGTAAATCTGATCTGTACCCCTGTCCAATACACTGCTGTTTCCATCTAAAAACCAAACAACCGTAAACAGTGCATTAGGATTACTAACAGATGTTCAATTAAAGGCATGATGGCATTTGATCCCTGATCCCAGCAATCATGCCTTCTGTCATGACACATGCATAGCAGGAGGCGTGATTTCAGATTGGGTATCAGATCCCAGTCGCACCATATTGCCAGTGCAGGGGGAGCCCGAGGTCAAGTGGTGCTCCTGTGGCTAGGGACACAAGTCAGCTGATTGAGGTTCCCCTCTGTGGGGCCCTTGGCTGTCAGCTGATTAGGACTCTCAGCCATGAGACCACACGGCAACCAAGCGCTCCATACAATCCCATGGCAGGGAGCCCTAATCAGGTGACCAGTGCTCCCAACCTCAGGAGCATATCAGAGCCCTTCAAGGCTCCAGTGCTGGCCACACATTCAATTTAAGGTGTGATGGGAACCAGCTACAATATTATTGCACATTTTTTGTGTAATAATTTGTGGCTTACTTCCTGTTTATTGCACTATTTAATTGAATGAATGCCTGACTTAAAATATGATTGACTGGTTAATCATGTGACATGTCTTAAGTGTAAAGTCCACAAGGGGCATAGATGGTCATCACAATCTGGAGCAACAGTGGGGATGGCCACAACAAATAATCATGGTGGGAAGTCTGGATTTTCCAGACAGAATGTGGATTGAAAATACACATGCCAGTGTAGCCTACAGAAATGAGTGGATGTCTGGGATTTAGGAACACCTGTGTGCTGTTCCTGACTCCAAGCAAATCACTGTGGCTTTTTGCCTAATTTTCCCCAAGAGGGTATAACGAGCATTATATCATGCAGAATATCCCATATATATGTTCTGCAGGTGACAGATCATCTATCATACACATGTCTGCCAAGAACTTTTACTATGTAAAGCAGTGTATAAATCAGAAGTTGTAGTAGCATTTTGCCCCAGAACCCTGCACTGGTGAAAAATCTCCAGTGCAAAACTGGCCCATCGAGTATTTCAGTGTCAAAGGTCCAAACTCAGAACCTTGCCAGAGCTGCACTCAGTTGACCTCAGAGGGAGGATGCAAAGGCAAAAGTGGCTGCAAGTTAACTCTGTGTCTTCTGGATCAGCCATATCCT